GACCCAACAAAATTCAAGGATAATTAGATTATCGAAAGTGGTGGTAAAATGGTTGTTGAAGATTGCTACGAGCGTTCGCTACAAATTTGAGTCGAGATTGGGATTGAGACGAAAATGACGTAAGAACATCAGTAAAATCAAACAACAATCTTATTTTGTATTATTAAGTAATTATTTTATTTATATAAAGATGAAGTGAAAAATCAATTCGATCATTGTTGAATCCTCTTTTGTTAAAAAACAAAAAGCTGAAGTACACCCAATCAGTTTGGTTTTTAACTATATAAAAGATCCTTATGAATTTCAAAACGCATTTTTAGTATCTAAGAAATAGAAAAAGATTCTCAATAATCATGAATATTGGGAACAGCTTAATGAGCATCTTGAATTTCAGGGGCCAAATTCTCATGCCACAAAATATAAAACTCATAAATCAATTTTTGTTAAAAATGTAAAAAAATTATGTTCCTGTAAACAAAATTTTGGTCAAAAAAATCGAAATCTCGGTCGAATGTATTTTAAATTTGATATTTTGATTCGTTATTGTCAGTATAAGTTGGAATCCAAATATTATAAATTTAAAGTATATAGAGATTTGTCTGTGATAATCTTTTTAATCTTTATAATATTAGTAAAAATAATAATGTTTGTTCATTATGTGATACAGAATATTTTTTAATAGAAAAATGTCGAAATCTAATTGGTGAAATTCGTGAAGAAAAAAGATTAATTGGATATGAGTTTTGTCGATTTGTTGAGGTAGATTTTGTTAAAATTATTATTCGTAATCTATATAAAATTATAAACAATGAATGTTTGTATATAGAGCGTTTTGGTGAATTAGTCAAAAACTATAACTTTAAATATTTATTCACATATGAATATAAAATAAAATTAGATTAAACAATTGATAAACGCATTAAACAAGTTATCTCTATGTTTTCTGCGCTATATAATTCTTTTAAGTGTTTTTAAATGAGATTTCTGTTACAATTTCGAGATTTAATATTTAATTTTACTCCATTCCATAATCCTTCAATATTGTTTGTATGTACACCAGTTCCTCTTTCTATTTTATTTTTGGAGTGGTTTACCCTACGATGTTTTATGTTTAATGAATTGAGATGTGAATATCCGTGCCATTTATCTGTATGTATTATAGAACATTCTCTAACATGTTGTTTTATGATATTTCTTAAAGTTGCGGCTTCACGATTATCTGTGAGTACAAAAAAGCATTTTTTCTTTTCGGTACGTTCAACGCCTCCAACAATTCAAAAATCTTCGTATTTTTTAAATTTACTCTCATCAATTTCGCAGATGTCATTTTTTCCACCAATGATAAAATTATCTGCAGTTAAGCTATTTATTGCTCTATCACGAAAAAATCTATGAATTTTACGAGTGGTTTTGAAGAGTAGTTTGTCATCATGCTAATAGATATATAATTCAATTTATATAGCCAAAAATACCCAATTAATAAAATATCACAACATTTAATGTTGTAGTTTGCAAAAATACTTTCTTTGAAAACTGTAACAGTTGTATTACAATTGTTATTTTTATATTTATAAATTTTATCAATTGGTTTAGTTTCAGAATTACATGCTTCGCAATTAGTTTTTGGTTTTAAAATATTTTTTTCAAATAAAAATTCGATGCATTTCTTTTCGTCAAAAAAAATTT